TAACCCTAACCCTGGTGTGTTTCTTGATCATTAAGAAATCTTTTATACTTTGTTTCAAGGTATCCGACACAACAAGTTTTTTCAAACTACAGTTTTTCTGAATCACAAAATTCACCCTCTTCTTATGTGTGGAGTAACATGTCCAACAACGTAAAATATCAAGGGAAGTAGAGTGTACTCTATACATGTGAGAAGGAGTTTGAACATTTCAAATTTTACCTATTTGTTTTTCTCGTTTACTACCTCCTTGAGAGATATGTCTTCATCATAATTAAAGTGGAGAATGTGGATCTATGTGCTTACGCGTATAATAAAGAAATAATCCAAGATGGTGAATCTTATGGATAACAAGACGCAAGTCAACCAATAGCCGCCTAGCTTTGATGATGACATGGTTTTGATGATGACAATAATTAAAGTCAAACACCTTCTAAATATAGCTCAAGCCGTTAAAGATGCACAAGATGGTTGATCAAACTATCCTCCCGAATCAAGCTAGACATTTTCCAACGACTTTCAAGCAAAGACTTAGGTTTCAAGGATCATCAGTGGTTCAACCTTTCAAACTCTCAGATGATGATAATCAACATGGAATATCTCAAACATCATCAAGAAAACTTGAAGCTTCAAAATATGAAAGAGATGAAGTGTTAAAGCTCACTTAATTGTGTCTGTTTAAGTGACCAGTGTTTTATAAAGACACGGGGGGATTTATAGAAACATTATGGATAAATATCATACACTAAAAGCATTGAGAAACCTTTCATTTTTTTATTTAAATCACTAAAGATGTTTTTGAGGCCTCGTCAATTGATTAGGGGATAATTTATTTGATTAGAAGAAATTTTGCAAATGTCTAAGTTATTATATCTTTATCCTAATCAATTAGATGATATTTAATCGAGTCCATGATCGATTATGATAGTCTCTTAATGATTAATAACAATTATCTATCAAAACCTTCCATTTTAGGCCTCAATAATTGATTATTTGAGGTGGCTAATCGATTAGGTGAGTTCAAAGACCCATGGATTATTTCCAAATTTACACCATGAATTTGCCTTTAAATAAATAGATTATATATCACTTTTACACATCCATGAAATGTGAAAAATCTCACGTTTATTTATACTCATCACCTCTCAAAACCTCTCACATCTTTCACATATTTTAGCCATAGTGCTTCGAGAGTGTTGTTGAGTCTATTGAAGAATATTATCCTAGGTGAGGGAAAAATATAAATTTACCAAGAGTAGATTTTTATCTTGAGTAAATATTCCATTAAAAAAGCTCTTGTTTATATTTTAGGGATTTTTCTAAGTCTCTGTTTGGTTTACGAGCTCTATCATTGAAAAAAATCTCTCTTTTGGGTTTGTGAAGATCAACCAGTGAAAAATCTCCACAACAACTCTTAATTTCATCCCGGTTAAAAGCTACATTGCTTCAAGATTAGCCCGGTATAAAATCTGACTCTATTTTGGAGTTCAACCTAGTATAAAAACTCAGTAGGTTTGATATTAGTCTAGTATAAAATCTCACTCAGTTTTTTAGTTCATCCTATTATAAAAATTTAGTAGGTTCGAGATCATCCGGATATAAATCTAAATTGAGTTTGGGTCAAACAGTATAAAACTGCATTTCGGTTTGAAGGATAACCAATTTAAAACTCCATCTTGGTTCGAGATCAGTCTATACAAAATTTATGTTTTGTGTAAAGACTAACTACTTCAAGCCGTGTTTATTGTTTGATTAGAAGTAATATTGAAACTTCAATTCCTTGTATAAGGGAGTTCATGAGCATAACCTTATAAAAGCTCTCAAGCATAGTGAATACTCACAAAATCAATTCTTGGGGACAAAAGTATGTCTTCCTGGTCGAATCTGTATTATTCTCTAGTGTTTTTTCTCTTCCTTTATCTCTTTATTTTTTAGTTATATACTTTGAATTTTCACTGCATTTTCAACTATTTTTATAAAATGGTTTTATACTCTAATTTATCAAATGATTTTGTTTTAAACCATCAATTTTAAAACTTTAACAATTCACCCGCTTCTTGTGTATAGAGTCATATGTCTAATAAAAGTTGGAAATAATTATGAAGTTTATTATGTATGTTAATAGTATTTATAAGGTTGTCTATAACATCTAGTTTGAATAATGACTAGTTTGAAAATATATTGTTTGAATAATACTACTAATGGTATACTTAAAACTATAACATTTATAAGAATTTAAAAATATCAAACATATATAATCGTATTAATTAAGTCCATATTTTCCTATAATAAGGTCGCACAATAACTCATGAGCTTATAGTTATCTTGGATTCATGTTTAGTCTATTTATCGTTAATATTTATAGGACATTAATCTTCAACCTATCTATCTCATTCTTAGCCTTCTTCATCTTTGCATCGACCTTTTTCCTCTCTATCTTGGCTTTTCACCCTCAATACACACATAAACATGTGTAAACTTTGACATTAACTCATTTTTTAAACTTATATTTCAAAGCATTAAAATTGACATTAGGAGTAGACATTTTCATAAGCTTTTCTTTCTCCTTCTTTTGGGCTGTCTTTTGATCGATTAGACGACATAACTATGTAGACGATGGTGGATTGTATGCGCTGATTGTTGGTGTTAGTGAGTTAAAAGATAAAGAATATGCTCTATAAACTAAATTCTTTGTTCTTTTTGTAGAGGCTTCCGATGAACCTACATGTCATTTGTGTTCATCTTTCGATAATTTCCATGCGCCTCAAATGTGAACTTTGCATCTTCAACGGAAATAAATATTGTATGTACATGAAGTCATATTGTTTTCAGAGCTTTTGCTTTTTGTGTAGCCAATGTGTGTTTATAGCACCCAACAAACTTTTGAATCGATGGATTAATTTTGTACCATCGATCTTTTAGTGTCATTGGTTTTGTCTCTTTGTAACTTTTGCCACAACGCTTATTATAAGATTCATTGATTGTCTTCCAAAAACTATCTTGTGTTTTATCAACTCCAACAATTGAATCCTTTAAAATGTTAAGTCATGATTGAATGAGAATTTCATTCTTTTTTTGGATGAAATCTTTGTTTCATTGTATTCACAACCGATGCATATACGACTTCTTCGCCAAGATTAATGGTTTCCCAACCACCTTGAGTGCAAAATTGTTTTTCTTCGCACTCTTGATTATTTGATTGCACATCATTATTACCTATTTGAATCCCATAAGAAAAATATTAATATTGATATGAATAAAATGATATATATTATATGGATAATTTCCAAATTATGACTTACTTTATGAATTTGGAATAAAAAGATAATTAAAATTTTGGATTACGATGGATTACCATAGTTATGATGGATGAGATTCAATGTGACAAATGTGTAGAAGAAAAGAAATAAAAGTGATAACAATCTTTCTTCAAATTTATACTACCTATGTTTTTATTATAAATCGCTTTAGAAAAATATTTTGTATCACAATATAAGTCGTTTTATAATGCTTTGAAAAATATTTTGTATCACAATATAAGTCGTTTTATAATGCTTTGACAATAAAATGACAATATATAGTTAAATAAATATTATAAATTAAAAACATACCCAGATCCCTCATGCCTAATTAGATGTCGTCCTTCAACCACCAAAATCTCCCCTGCAACAGGATTTTTCTGCTCCTCGTGAACATCTTCATCCTCCTGAATAGGATGGTCATCCTGCTCCTGAGGCGCAAATATATATGTGTGGGGTGTGGAATGCGGGAGCCAGATCCCCCTGGGTGGTGCGTGGAGGGAGTCTGCTGAGGAAAACTATATCCTACAGGCTGCGACGTGAAGGAATACTGCTAAGGAAAACTAGATCCCCCAGGTTATGCAAGGGGAGTTTGCTGAGGGAAACTAGATCCTCTAGGTTGCTATGTGAAGGAATAATGCTGAGGAAGAAAACTATATCCCCCAGGAAAACTAGATCCCCCAGGCTGCTGCGTGAATGAAGACGGTACCTGAGGAAAATTAGATCCCCCAAGAGGATGCATGAAGGATCCCCCAAATGGACTAATAAACGATGGATTCCCAGATGGAACTGTTTGGGAGGAGGGGAGTAATGTCGTAAATGTCTGTGAAGTGTCTATGGACATTAGATCTGCCTGAGTCTATGGGCGAAAGCATACATGGGTGGGGGAGGTACCTCACGTACTCTAACTCTTGAACGGGGATGGGTCTCCTTAGCCTTACCCTTGTCAGTTCGGGGTGGCATTCTATCTATTTTGAAAGAGTTATCAATAAATAAATCAAGACTATTATCAACACAATATATACACGTAAAAATCATTTGCATTCATATAAAACAAATAATACATTAATAAAAATTGTTCGAACACATATAAAAACTATCTATTCAAACTCTTCATGCTCTTCATCCATATTATTTTCATCATCTGATCCAATAATGTCCTCAGATCCAAACTCTCCATGCTCTTCGTCCACATTATTATCTACCAACAACACAAATGCATCAATTTGATGACCCTCGGCCAATGTATCACACAAATTTGTAATTTCTTCAACTTCAACCACATCATTAATTTGAGAAATTTCATCGTCTTGATAAGCAACATCTTCCACTAGATCGTCAGTTTCAATATGACCCAATGGTTTTGTTTTGATTACAACACATCATCCACGTTTATGTAACTGAGTTGAAGGGTACAGAACATAATAAACTTGTTTAACGATATGTGACATTATGAAAGGGTCATACTCTTTGTACCTTCTGTCCATTTGAATATCAACAATGTTATATTTCTTATCTATTTTTGTGCTCCTGGAAGATGGATCATATCAATCACAATAAAACAAGACAATTCTATTTTCCAAGTCCAAGTAATTGTATGCCAACTCGTAAATATGCGTAACAACACCATAGAATTCGTCTTCACCACCATCTGTAACTCCTTTAACAAATACACCGCTGTTTATGGTTTTTTTTCCCTTTTGTCTAAGCCTGGGTGTGAAATTTATAGCCGTTCACAAAGTATGTGTTCCATTCAATTGCTCTTTGAACAGGGCCTCTAGATAAGTTTCTCAAATGAAGTATTTCTTGAGTCAGTGCAACAATGCATGACAATTGATCCTTGAACCATGCAGGAAAAGATGCATGTATGTGACCGGTAGTTGCTTGTTCACCGGTGCTTTAAAAATAGGAGGCATTAAATGCCCTATAAAGAAACACACTATTAGTTAGAATGTAATAATTCAATTTGTAAAGCTGAATAGGTAGTTACGTTAGGGGTATACTTACTCAAGATATGACCTAACTTCAATGCAGTTAATTAGAGCATGAACATGTGCAGATTGCAATTCTTTTTGGGTCAGCCAATGCACATTCTCCTTTCGAGAGGGGCGGTCGGGAAGACCGAAGATTGACAAGGTAAACTGACTTCTTTTTTTAACATCAAATTCTTTCCTTATGATTCTTGGAGTTAACATCAAATGATTGAAATAATGACTGAAAAAATGTGATGTTTCTCGATGCAAGTAATGTGCACATATTGATCCTTCAACTTTAGCTTTATTTTTCACTGATCGCTTTGAATCACCCATGAATCTTTCAAAGGGATACATCCACCTGTATTGAACGGGGCCACCAAGATAGGCTTCATATGTAAGATGCAGAGGTAGATGCTCCATAGAGTCGAAAAAAACCAGGTGGAAAAACTCATTCCAACTTGCATAGAATAACTGGAATATTTTGGTCCAACTTAATGATGCTATCAACTCTTAACGTTGACGCACAAATATCTATGAAGAATTGACTTATTTCAATTAGAGGATATAGCACATGGTTGGGTAGTGAACTGAACGCAATTGGAAGCAATCATTCCATGAAAACATGACAATCTTGACTTTTCATTCCATGCAACTTCCCAGTTTTGGTGTCAACACACCTTGCTAAATTTGAAGCATAACCATCGGGCATTCTCAATTCATTTAACCATCGACAAACCGCTTTAGCATCTTGGGAAGTTAAATTGTAACAAGCCTTAGGTTTTAATAATTTTCCATTAGGCCGAGGCTTTAACTCCAAGTCTTTTGTATCACACAAAATTTCCATGTCCCTTCTGGCCTTCTCATTATCTTTTGTTTTGCCTTGAACATCCATCACTGTGTTAAATATATTATCAAAGAAATTCTTTTCAATATGCATAACATTAAGATTATGTCGCAATAAATTATCTTTCCAATATGGGAGGTCCCAAAATATACTTCTTTTTGTCCAATTGTGTTTGACCCCATATCCTTGAATTTTGCATGCTTCACCATAATCTGTGAATTTTGACAGTTTAGAAACTCGATTCCATATTTCCTCTAGTGATAATCGAGGAGGAGGCAAATCTTTTACTCGTACATCTTTTTTGAAATCAGTCTTGTTTCTCCTAAAGACATGGTCTCGTGGTAGGAATCTGCGGTGACAGTCGAACCACGAACTTTTCCCTCCAAATTCCGAAGTAAAAGCCTTTGTAAATTCCATGCAATGTGGACATTCCATTTTGCCATGCGTACCCCAACCAGATAACATTCCATAAGCAAGAAAGTCATTAATAGTCCACATCAAGGCAACTCGCAAAGTAAAGTTTTGTTTGCGAGATATATCATAAGTCCATTCTCCAATCCACAACCTCTTCAAATCATCTTGTCATACCCCAAATTTTGACCCTTAGATCTTCATTATCCTTTTAGGATCATACTCATATGATTATCTAACCCTAACCCAGTTCAAGTTTTTCTTTGTTTAAGATGCAGATGAATCAGGGTTTTCGCACCGACAAATTCAAAACAACCAAGGAATGATCAACCAATGATTTGGGCCAATTCAATCATGGAATGAAATCAAAGATAATATCAAAGTCAAATGAGAAGTCAATTTTAAGAAATCAGTTCAGAATCAAAGACAGTGCAGTCAGGAGGCCCCGATTAGGGTTTTTAACTAGTGAAAAGTCAACTGTGGTTTGACTTTGATATTGGAAGGTGTTGTAATGGTGGGATTAAGGTCCATGAAGTTCATATAGCTTATTAAAGACCATTCAAAAAGTATCAAAGTCTCAGGATGTCCAGAATGTCAACAGGCGACTCAATCGGCACCGATCGATCGTACAATTGACCAAAAAGTCAACTCCTCAAATTTTGAGAATTGGAATCCAAGTTGTGAATCAAATTTGTTCCTTATGTCATAATGTACTTCCATATCAATTTTCATGATCATTGGATCAAGGATGAGAGAGTAATCGAAAAATCGGGAAAATTAGGGTTTCAAAAGGGGCTAAACCCTAACTCCTTAACCACACACTCAATTGAGTTTGTTCCAAGCTCATTAGAAAGCTCTTGACAAGTCCTACAAAAGTCCCATACTAGTCCACACCCATAAAATGCATACTTTTTGAGATAGAAGCAAAAACATTCCTAGAAGGGAAAATAACTTAGAAAATTTCTAAGTTATTTTCACTTTAAAAGCTTGTGTGCAACCAACTTTGAAAGGATTTTTCACCTAGTTCCAATTGGAGTTTGATTTCTTGGCAAACATGAATGTTTTAGAGCTATATGAGGGCTTTCTAAATTGTGCTAGAACATCTCAAAAGGAGTTATGAGCAGAAAGTTACATAGGTGCAAAGTTGGGGGTTTCACATAATAGTCCCACATTGGTTGAATTTTCAAGATTGATTTCTTTCACCAATTTTGCCAAATATTCTTGATCTAACTTGTTGTATCTTATGTATGAGATGTATGTATCATGAAATAAAAGAGAATTATGCAGAATAGCCCAAAATCAAAGGTTTGAGTCCATTGCCTTGCAAGTGGAGCAAGTGGACAAGTTACATTCCCAAGCATGAGGTGTAAAGTGGAAAGGCTGTACCAGCCCTTGCCTATGGTTTCTAGCCTGCTACAAACATCAAAAATCAGTGGGAAATGTTGACAAAATGGCCTTGTATCAGAATTAATGATGAAAACCCTCCCTTGAAGGTTTGCTCCAAAATATCACAAGCTTGCTTCATGATGAAGTAAAGTCTCTAGCAAGCACCTCAATCTCCTTTCCTATAAAAGGAGGTCTCATTCACCTCATTCCACACACAATTAATCTGATAGAAACCATAGAGAATCTCTGTTATCACAATTTCCATTCTTTGCTTCAAATTCTCAAAAACACCAAATTCTTCAAAAACCACTAAAATGTCACTTTGTATCTTTTACACCAGAACTTTCTCCAAACCTTAAAACACTTCAAGGACCACATAGACAACCTTAAAATGACCCTCTGAAGCTGTTCCAACCATTAGTTCTCTTAAAAAACCAAAGGATCAAAAAGTCAAATGTCCATGCACCATAGTTTGACCTTTATGCATTTTTCTTGACAAATCCTTACACAAAGCTATTCCCACCATTCCAACACTTGAGACACCTCATATTAATGATATCCAAGCTGTTCAAAGTCTCAAAACACAGCTGGAAGATCATTTGTTCAAACTAGCCACAAGAGTGCATTTTGCTTTCAAAAGAAGGAAACTTCAAAGCAAGGGAGTGATTGAAGATCTCTGGGTTTCTCAGCCTATTTTGTTTCTTCAATATTGTCTACAAGAGGTATGTGATGCCCTAATTGCCTAGAAATCATACATTATCATGTTTACCATTTTGAGGTGATTTTGGTTATGATGTAGTCTAGCTATCCTATTTGGAGTGTTTTGCAAGAACCTTTGTTTTTGGTCATTGATATATTGTTGTGTTATAATGTTTTCATATGCAAATGACATGTAGAATGTATGTGCATAATCAATTTGACTTGAGTAGGACAGAACATAGCTTTGAGTTTATTCATGCCTTGTTTCAACATGACCATTACACTTTGCATCTCACATACCACTTCTAGCACAAACTTAATTTTCACAAAAAACACACCACGTACACTTCATGTTAGTCATTTATGAGATGTTGGAAAGATCATTTTGCACTAATACTTGCTGTCATGAAGTTTCACTCATCAAATGCTCATCTCTTCATAAAATGGCATCAACACACCAATCCTTGAATCAGTTTGTTTTTAAATGAAATGACTGGTCTAACACTTCATACTCATCCATTATAGCATGCCTACATGGTTACTTTGCATCAAAACTTGCTGTCATGGAATTTCACTCTTGAATTGCTCACTTTCTTCACAAAATAGCATGTCACACACCAGTTCGTGCCTCAGCTTGTTTTGTGTTGATTTGTTTGTTCTAACAGCTTGTGTTAATCATTTGAAATATGTTTGCATTGGTCTAAAGCTTTGAAACCACCTGAACACCAACACACACCACATAATGCACATAATCACATAATGAGCATGTTGAACACCAAAACCATACACAGCCATCACAGTCCTTTGAATTTCACACAAACACACTTATAATCATGTAATATATGTGTTTGAAAGGTTGTTTTGATCAGTATTGCCTTGAAACTTGAAGTACCCACTGTCATGCATATCATTTATGTATTGTTTGCAACTTGAACTTGGTTTCTCACAATAGCTCAGTTTTGGCCTTGAGGATGTTTTGAATTAATTCATTATCATTTATTTGTGATGTGTGTGTGATCTTCATGGTTTGAATATGAATGTTTGAAGCTACACATATGAAATTGCATTTTTGAGCCTAAAAGAGGGACACTATCGGGTTTTGCAGAGGATTAAGAATTTTGAAAAACTAAAACCACCATTGAATTCCTTGTGTGATTCTACCCCAAATCCATATAAATTTTGTGCCGATCCGATTAACGGTTAGGAAGTTACGATACAAAACGTAAATCCATTTGTTGTGTGTTTTTGCCCAGAAAGAAAATTGTCACTTTTTATACTAAACTTCCACCAGTGGAAGTTACTTGTAAAACTTGTCATTTTTCACTCCAACTTCAAAAATTCATAACTCGCTCGTTTTTTATCGTTTTTTGCCCGTTCTTTTTCCGTTGTGTTCGTATTAATGTCTATTTTCATGCTGTATTTTTATTTTTCATGTTTTAATTTTTTATCATCGAGTTTGTTTATGTACAAGTGTGCGCGTTTTCACGATCGTTTATGTAATTGCAGATGAATTTTTAATTGTTTCCTTTCAATATTTTTATTGAAACTTGTTTGAATCCATGCCTATATATGTTAGTTAACATGCTAGGATTTATTTCTTGGTTGTTACCATTTTTATCTGTTGACTGTATTGGAATGCGATATGTCGTCACAGTTCTCGTTATTTTTTCATCTGCTTTGATTGTGATCATTGCATTTTCATCCTTATCAATTTCATGTGCTCATTTAATGGTTGTCACCATGAACCCATGATACTTTCCTCCTAAATTACGAGGTTAAACTAATTTTACATAATTTGCTTGTACATAACAACAAACTTCCTTTTCACACGAGTCGCCGTACTCACTTTTAACCGTCCCGCCGTGGACATTCTCCCCTT